TCTGAGAAAGATGGTGCTAAAATGACAGCTCAGCCGGCTGCCGCCTCCTGCCTAGCTTTCTACTTGGCCGGTCGGCACTCCCCACTTCTCCTTCGGGGAATAAGGTGGGATAATGCTGCATAATTGTAAAATAAATATATCCGATCCACTTTAAATGCTATAAAAAATCCCATTGGCTTTCATGTCTGCAGGCTAGTGTTTACAAGCTGAGATTAAACAGTTCCCATGTGTCTGAGGCCTCAGTGACACTACATTTTCCAATATCTAACCTCATCTAGCCGCAATAATAGCATGCATGTACCAAGGGGGTTGAGACTAATGATACCGGAGATGGAGCTTAACGGTAATGGAAGTAACACCGTCCCCTATTCAGAGATGCTAAAATCTTTCACAACGTGAAGAGCAAGAGCACGCCCCCCTCTCTCCTGCTCTCCTTTACACCATTTCAATGCAAAACGACAAGTGCACTTTAAATAGAGCCCATTGCGTAAAAAGTGGAAATGAGTCATTTTTCTGTTGACGCCACCGTCGCTTATGACTGAATGAATCGCGCAGCGCCATATGGGCCCCCGAATAAATGCAGACAGGTGCTACAGTTATGTAAGTTAATAAGTGAGACAAATGATCCAATTAAACATGCAGGAGTTGTGGCTGACGTCTGCTCGTCACAAATTGCTGACATTACTTCCTGACAGAGGGAGCCGGTGTCTGGAAGCGTCTCAAATTCAATTTCTACCCAATATTTGAGCAATAGACGTAGACGTTTGGGAACATTCACAGAGGCGGAAAAACTAGCCAAATCCTGTTTTCTGTATAATTTTTAGAAGCAATGTTATTTTTTCCCATGTGTTATATGCGCATAATTATCTACTTTCTTGTGCTGTGCTGCAAGATAACTTCCTATCTGCTTAGTTTTAAATTGAGAAGCAATTGCCATTTTTTCTGTTTGTTGTTTTAAGCTTATGGGCATGAAAAGTCTTCAGCTGCCTGTGGCTGTGTCTATATGCACATAGGAGGAACGGGGGCAGAAAACAAAGGAGCTTGCTATCAATTGAGTTTATGCTTATACGTCCCACCTTAGGTGCTTTTATCGATTAGAGAAGAACTACCCAATATGAAGGCAGTTTCTACATAAACTTTATGGCCAAAGGTTTGCAGATACCTGATTATAACCAGAGGTGGAAACTTGCCGGAATTGACCCAGCAATACTGGAACTTTTGATCCGGTTGCAGGGTCATTACCTGAAGGATTACATTTCAGTTCAGAGATGTAAACACAAGTAAAGTGCAGCATGTGTGAGCCACGTACGTTGCACATTATAGAAGGAGGAGCAATGGGCAAGAGGAGCAGGAGGTGGGAGGAGGAGGAGCAGTGGGCAGGAGATGGAAAAGAGTGAGCGGGAGGAGGAGGAAGAAGAGCTCCCAGTGCAGCTGGACACAGCTGTTGCCAACCGGACACCAGCCATGCCACGACTAGTATGTAATCACTAAAGCACTGTAAAAATTATTCCATCAGTATGAGAAAATACCCATCACCCTATACATATGCAATCACTTTTACTGCTTAGTAACATCACTTAAGAAAACTCTTTGGTCAGCTGATGTATGTGGATATAATGCAATGTATATTGAATTAATGAACACCCACTGATACCACAAGAAGGTTACAACCCCCATGTCACATTTCCATCTGTGTCCATGTTGCAGAATTTCCTTCACTTTCTTTCTGGTAAAACTGTTGTCACTGAGACAGGAAGTGACTTTTGAAAATTATGTTTGTTTTCATAAACCAAGCATATGAATAAAGTATCCCAAAACTCCTAAGAATCCTTAGATCTAAATTACAAACTAAACACGATTTTTATTTAATAACTTGAAGCTTAATATTCATAATTTATATTCCACATAAAAAATCTTAAGCCTATTTCTTTTTTTTCTAGTCTGAATAATTGATCCTTGTTAAGCCATAAAAAATGAGAATCTGGGCAGATAATAAATCAGACTAATTCTGAAAGTCCTTCAGAAGGAAATGTCGGGTGACATCACAGCAGCTTCCTCTTCTTCCTCTGGCTGTGCAATGAGTGTGAGTGCTGCACACTCCTGAAATACTGCGAGCCCAGCCTGCGTGATGAAGCACCCCAAGGGGGTGTGTTAAAGACAGGTTGGGCTCACAGGAAATGTGCAGGACATGCAGAGGAAAATATGCCAAAAGAGCACTGCCGGTGCTGGATAAGGGAAGAGCTAAGAACACCAAATAGTTTAACTTGTCTTCTCAGTTGAATAGTGACGAGAACTCTAGCAGGTCCCTCTAGTGGAAACAGCTTTTTTGACAAAGAGAGTTTGTAGAGCGTTCCTGTAGCAGTCAGGAGATCTACAGCCAAGCTGTATTTAATGCAGATGTTTTGGAAAAAGTTTCTATGCCCATAATACTGGAATATGCTATATTAGAACACACATTCTTGTTGAAGATATATCAAGGCATAGGTTTATTTCAGTGTAAATTATTCTAATTGCAATAGTAATATTATACGTGATTTTAGGTTAGGGAGTTAAGTTAGGGTTGGGGTGGGTTGCGGTTTGGCTCAGTTTTAGAGATTTAGTTGAGGGTTTGGGATTTCGGCAGAATTAAGTTTGACAGTAACGAAGTTCTGAAAAGTTTGATCAAACATGGTAGAGCCAAAATAAAAAAAGTCAAACCTGACATTTTTAAATCAAAAGTCCCATTGTTCAATCAGTCGCAGTTCCGCCAAACCTTTTTAAGATTTTCAAACCGTTGAAATTCAGAATTGTGAACTAGAAGACCCACTGAAGTTAAAGGAAATCCGAACCAGGCACCCAAAAAGTGTGTATTGCACTTGAATGATCCAAACTTGTGCAGAATGGTCTAGGAAGGTCCTGGCAGCCCTGTCTAACGGAATGATGGGGCCAAATAACAGCCTGAGCCACTAAAAATTCTACCATTCTACTTGGTGGCACTCGCAGCCTAGCTAAAGGTGCCAGGGTAACGGCAGAAGCAGATATAAGACAGAAACAGCCTTTGGTCCCTCGCTTGCAGAAGCCTTTTGGTAATCTGACCTGCCAAATGAAATTTGCATTCAGCTCGGGACATTTCAATTAATTTAATTCAGTCTGACTCTAACATCATCCAAATTCTGGTATCAACTCTAGCTGATAGTTTGTTTTTGGGGTCAGGTTGTGTTTAAGAGGTTTGGGTAAATGTTAAGGACCATGGTATGGTTAGTGTTGATGGTTGGTGGATAAGTTGAGGTTTAGGGGTTTGCTGAGGGTTAAGAATGATGACAGAGTTGACAGTTCGGGTTAGTGGTTAAGTTAAAGAATTTGAGATTAGATTTAAGTGTTAAATGAAGAATTTATGTTTATGCAAAAGATATGCTGGCAATTTTTGGTTGGGGTTAGAGTGAGGATTAGGTGGTTGGATGAGGTTCAATGATTAGAAATTTGTGATTTGGGTTTTACAGTAGGTTTGATTGAGGTTTAAGAGTTAGACTTGGAGTTAAGGGTTAGGACAGAATCAGGGTTTACAGGTGGTATTGGGGTTAGGTTGCGGTTAAGGTTCGGTTGAGGAACCAAGAATATAGTAGGGTTGATGGCCAGTGGTTGTGGTTAGGTTGTGGTTTCAAGGTTAAGTTAAGGGTTAGGGAAGAGTAAGTCCCTGTTCACACCTGGGCGTTTTGACGCTGAAAGCTTAAGCATCAAAACACACAACACAAGAATTCCCAACGCTGGAAAAGGTGCATGAGCTTCTTTCAGGCAGATTCAGCGCCTGCTCTATTGATTTCAATGTATACGTTTATTTGCGTGTTTTTGTGCAAAAAGAACATGCGTTTTTAAGGCGCATATACATTGTGGAAGACCACCTGCAAGGCACACTGGGAATCAAAATGGCTGATTCATGTCTGCAGAACTTTGACTCTGAGGCATATATAAGGCTGATACAGGCACAACCATGCGCAACCCCCTTTATAAAAACAGAGGAAGGAGGAGGCAGGCTTGGATCCAAATTGCTTGCCAGGTTTGGGCAGAATGGGAATCTTTCCCTCCATCCGTGCAGGACAGCAAAGGTAAAACATGTGCATGTGACATGCGGTGCATCTATAGTTAGTTGTGATACTGTTGTAGCTTATGTTTCAGCTTCCGTGTGGCTTTTGTAGGTCTGTGCAGCTGCAGATTTCCATGTGTTGTGGAACTACAAATCCCAGTATGCAGCTACCTCTGGGTGTCATGCCTGTTTCTTTTCTGTGTGTACAGACTTTTATATGCATCACAGGACTTGTAGTTCCACAGCTGCTGAAAGGCTGTAGTTGTTAACCACTTGGCTAAAGTGTAGGAGTTTAAGAAAATATTGTCATTTGGATTCTGCATATGCATAGCTATCTAGACAGGTCTTGGCAAGTTTATTTGGGGGAGAGGAACCAGGTTAACACACATGTTGCAATCTGACTAGGCCAGGGTTAGGCTCTCCAGCTGTGCTGAAACTACAAATCCCATAATGCATTGCAAGCCACAGGCATGACTCACAGAGGCAGAAGCATGTTAGGATTTACTGCTACCAAGCGTGCTCTGGATGAGTACATCTGCACGGTCTTGTCTCCTCTCTCCTGATGATAACCACAAACAGGAACAGGAATTATGTCATGGACAGGACTTCTTTTCATTGGACAAGACTCAATACACCCATATGCAGAAACACATCCAAAACACGCATGTATTTAGTGCAAACCGCTCTAAATCGCGCTAATGGAAACCGTGCATAAAACGCGCAGAAACGCTAACGCCTAGGTGTGAATGGGGACTTAGAGTTGACAGTTGGTGGTGGAAGTTAGTTTAGAGTTATGGATTGAGTCAAAGTGTGTTGTTAGACATTTTACAAGAAGGATTTTCCAACAACCTGGAGCGGGAGGGATTTCAGTGTCAGAAGTTCTAGCTATTACCTCCCAGACATACGGTAGTAGAAGAAGACATGCAAAATGCTGACTTACTGCTTCCCTACATGCCATTTGCTGCCTGCTAGATGTAGATGAGTTTTGAGAAAACATAGAAGATTCTGTCTTATTCCTGCAATGAAAACAACATTTCAGAATATTCCAAAAACAAAAATATTTATCAGTAGTAAACCTCTCCCACAATTTTTGCATTATTTCCTCCTCTATGAGGTTAAAATGTGGCAGTTCAGCCATTTTTGCCTGAAGGGTAGTTATTCAGAAACGGAATAGTTTTCTCAATAATTATCTGTAGGACATATGTCAAATGTGTCTTCATTGGCATATATATAAAGTTGCAGTTAAACTGGCCACACATGTTACAGTCTAATTGTGCAACCCTATTTTTAATTTTTTTAAACTGTGTAGTGCAAGGACATAAATTGAATGGATTGTTGGTCAGGGAGGCTCTCATACATAGTTCATGGTAAATCGAAAGGTGATTCTACAAGGTTGTATAATGAAACTTTAACATGTATCATTTAGATTTTACACAAGAAAATAACATTAAAAAAGCTACAGAATATTTAGCGTTTTAGAAATGTATCAGAACACAAGATAACTGATAGAAAGTACTGATGCTAAGGACAAACATTTTGCAACTTTCTGCAAATTTGTGTTACCTAAAGTTCATGGCTGAAATCAGTGCTGGAAAATCCAGGAATTCTTCAACCTACAAAACATGATAATTAAGATCATTAGTTTCTGACTTTTGTTATATGTTCCTCTTTCTTTGACGATTTAAGATACAGCATACAGCAACATACAGCACATCACACAGGATACATCAGGAGTAGGCAGGGTGCATTTCATAGTCCTTATTACCATGCTCTCTATGGTGTGCTGTAGGTTACATAGTGACCGCCATAACTTATGACCATATATTCATTGTTTCCAATTAGTCTCAGACTATTTTAATAATTTCTTTCCGGCTGCAGTCTTATTACAAGTGATATTGGCGACATCGCCGAGATCACTTGTAAATGAACAAGCAGCTTCCCCGCTCTACATTTAGCCCTGCTTGCCCAACGCTGGGCTAAATGTAGAAAACAACTACCCGCCCGGCGCCCGCAAATGCATGTCTCGGGCGATTCTACACACCTGCCACCCCTCTGCTCCCTGCAGCCCAGAGGATGGGCCTTGTAGGAAATCTGTCCTTGTCTAAGGTCCCTATCACACATGCAAACATACAGGGCCTTCCAGCATCTCTTAGGCGTGTGGGAGGAAATCCACACAATCACAAGGAGAACATGCAAACTCCTTGCAGAAAGTCTCCTGACCAGGATTTTAACCGGGGACCCTTAGTGCTGCAAGGCACTGCGCTGCGCAGTGGAGCTCTTCTTTAAGTCCCCATGCACACTTAGGCACTTTTCTGCTCAAAGCTAAGTGTGACAAAATGCTCCACACACGGAATCCCATTCATTTCTATGGCCCCTGCTCACACCTGAGCGTATTGTTGCAAGCGAAAAAACACCTGTCACTGGAAAAAGTATATGAATGATTATAGAGCTTTTTGGTCCCATAGACTTCAATGGGAAACTTCATGCGACAAAATGCATAACAAAATGCCCGTTTTGTCCTGCTTAGCTTTGAACTTAGGTGTGAACAAAGCCTAATGGTAATGTATTACCTTCTTTCTAGCTTTAGCCCACTCCGCACTATCCTCATTCTCATGGTCTTCCTTTGTCTTCTCCTTCTCTCTGCATTCCTCTCTCTCTTTCTTACTTGTCTTCTTTGAGCTGCAGCCACATATTGAGGGAATAAAGCAAAGACATTTCTAAAAATGTACAAAATGTCGTGTGAAGGTTCTCATTTATCCAGGTCATGGTATTGTTAGGTAGTTAGTCACATTTAACTGGACATGTTCTGTAAGGATAAGTTGCAAAACATCTTCAACATTACAGAACGAGTCCAGTGAATATTTATTATTAATTACAGGTATTTATATAGCACTGACAATTTACACAGCTGCACATTCACATCAGTCCCTGCCCTCAAGGAGCTCACAATCCAAGGTCCCCATCTAACATACATATAGGGCCAATTTAGACAGGAGCCAATTAACCTACAAGCATGTCTTTGTAGTGTGGGAGGAAACCACAGTACCCAGAAGAAACCCACGCAAGCTCAGGGAGAACATGCAAACTCCTTTGCAGATAGTGTCCTGGCTGGGATTTGAACCAGGGAACCTTAGAGTTTGAAGGCGGCAGCGCTAACCACATGGTGGTAGGTGATTGGCACCCGGCTAAATTGGCCTTAGTATGCATAGGGACCATATAAGCTCCTTGAAGGGGAGGGCTGGTGTGAATGCGCTGAATAATGTGACATATAAAGATATGGCAGGATTTCCAACCTGTCATTTATAAATATAGATGCAATCCAGTAAAATACCAAGCATGTGTTATGCACTATAACAACCTTTATTTTGACTTTCAGCTCTCATTGGTGGCATTTGCTGAAAATGACAGTATTGATAATAATTAACTATCATTATAGCTTTGGTAAATTGAGCCTCAGGCAGCTAACATTTGAGTTACAGTACTTTCTGTTGGTTAAAGAATGACAGCACTGAAATCTCTCTCTGTAAATCGGCATGATCATTCATTCAAATGGGGATTTCTTAATGGTTTAGAATAATAGCGTAGGAATCTTTCTACACTGAATCCTAGAAGATTGACAGCAGAAGAAGACCAAGTGGTCCTTTTTAACATTAAGGGGTCCATGTATAAATAATCCACAAAGTCATTGGACCTGCAAATCTCTCCAAAGGGGCTATTCACAAAGGAGCCGAAGGATCCAGGCGTAGCTTTGGCTGATCCTTCAGCTCTCTTCGGCTGCCGGAGCCCTTCGATTCAGTCGGACCAAAGGGCTGCTGAACGTGCTATTCACTATAGCCCGTACAGCAGCCGAAGGGCTCAGCCGAGTGACGACACCACCCAGTTGTTATTCATTGGCCGGGACCTGCTAGAAGACTCTAGCAGGTGCTGGCCAATAGGAAACAGTTGGGAGGAGCTAGCTGTCACTGCTAGCTTTGCCCAATTGCTTTTTCTACTTTTTTCACTGTTTTCTATTCTGCTCGGTACCACGGAGGTACCGAGCCGAATAGCCGAGCTGAATGCCGCTCGGCAGTATTTGGCCATTCACTCACTGCCGTTAGGCCCGTATGTGAATAGGGGCGAACGGCAGGGAGTGAGCTTGCCTGGAGCTTTGGCTCAGCCGATCCAGATGTTGGATCGGCTGAGTAGAAGTCCTTCTGCACTTCGGCTCAGCCTGAAATTAGCCGTACTAAGCCGTAGTAAATAGCCGACGTTCTTCGGCTCACTTGACTACGGCTCGGTTATTCACTCGGCTGCCTTCGGCAGCTTTGTGAATAACCCCCTAACTGTTTGTTTGGTGTGATTAGATGCACAAAATGAATGTTCTTGTTATATTTATTTTTGTTATAAGTATTTATTTCCTATGCTCCTCGGCTCTATCTAGTGGCCATAATGCAGAATTACAAGACGACATTCAAAAATACTGTATATTAGACTTACAAAGAAAATATACAAGAATGTTCATTTTGTGCATCCATTCGCACAGAATGAATATTCTCAGAGATTTGCTGGTCAATCGCTCTACAAATTGTTTAGAGTTTATTTATTATTTTTATTATTATTGTTTATCTATTTATTTGGGTTGCTTGTTTTGTTTAACCTTTTTATCTAGATAGAGACCTATGTTTATCCCAGGCATGTTTAAATTCACTTACTGTCGATAGGTAATCCTCTGCACTGTCATATAAATAGGACATCACTGTCTGAGAGCAAGTCAAGGGAGCCTGTGCTCCTAAAGGTATAGAGGTGAGTTGGGAAGAGGGAAAGGGAGGCAAACTGGTGTATTAGGCCCAGATTTGTAAAAAAAAAACAACAACAAAAACATATCCCTGTAGATCTGCTGGATATGGGCCCTGTCATTCTCCATAATATCCTCAAACAAGCATTATAATGTATATATTATATACTCTTTGTTGCCTTTTTTTTTTCTCTAGTTGCATCTATTGTTTCAAATGCATTTTGCAGGACGTCAACTGTTGTTATATAAACATTTATTACCAGAAAGATGAATCAAGGCAGCTCAGCGGGGGGCTGATGTCTCTAGCAGTAATCAAATGCTGCATTCACACACGAAGAACTGCTTATACTAGATAATTCGGTGACAGCGGTGTCACCATATCTGTTTCATGACACACAGAGATCTTTCTAGATATCGACTTTTTCATCACCTGGTTTTACATGTATAAATCTGTGTGGGGAGCGGGGGTTATAATCAGATAAATGGCCAACAACAAGCCACATTATACATTATAGGCCACCTAACACATGAATTTCAATGAGTGGAGAGACTTTAAAAAATTTAATTTTGCCAAAACGTCATCTCTCAATGTGCTGCTTACGGGGAAATTTGCTTTAAAAACTCAGATCTCTTTTATTATGTATTTAGAGGGTGTGGGGTCTTTTTTGGTGTATATAGGGTGGTTTAGTGTATTCTCTTTAGTATCTATTTTGTATTTTTGATGTTTGCTTTCCATTTGTTTATTGTTATTTGTATACTGTCACTTTCAGGGTTTTTTTGTGGGTTTTTGTTTTTTTCTACTTTTTTGCTTCCTGGCTTTGTTGTTGTTTATAATGAGGCTAATGAGGGGCCTTTTTTCTACAAGAACAGGCCCAGTTGCAGGAAGATTCTGTAACCCTAAGGAGTAGTTTTAAGCCCATTGCATCCTTTAAAATCACACAAAAACCTGTCTTTAGACAATGAATTTAAACAGCAATCATCGCATAAGATTATATGTCCATTTAACATATTTTAGGCATGTTTTTTGCTAGTAAAAGTCTCCCTTGTCTGGACATCCAAAAGCCCTGAGACTGCTGCTGGGGGCTCCGGTTGATGGGATGTCAGGACCACCAGACTCAGAGATACCACTCAAGTAACACTATAATATTCACCTTCTGCCCTTCCCCAGCAGCTACATAAAAGCTTATGTAAAAAGGTAAAGGGAGGGATGGAAGAGCTGGGCCAGCATAGTCAGTAACTAGAAGAGGAGAGAGCTGTGACATAAAAAAAATGGAGGTGCTTTTTTAGGGAACTGACTCTTCTCCGAGTAGTCATATTGTCTAGCAAGTTCAAAGGCACATTGAAAATAAATAAAAGTCATTGATGGAAATAATTTATGCAAGTATGCAATAAAATAAAACTTGGTTTTTCCTGTAATTCCGCTAACAAGGATCTCTGTTTTCCTTTATGTAGTGGATGTGGCTTTTGGGGTATATTTAGTTTACTTTATTTTATTCAGTGTATTTGGTATTTGTGTACGGTGACAACCTTTTATTCGACTTTTTTCACTGTCACACGTCGGCTTTATTGATCGGGAAGTGAGTAGAAACACGCCGCCGATCCGCTCACTTCCAGATCGTCTCCCAGCATTGAGTGGTGACTGTCAGTCACCCCTCCCCACAGGCATTCCCCCCTCCCCTCTCTGATCCTCCAGCGCTAAGTGGAGGAACGGACCGTGGAGGGGGCGGGCACAGCTGGCTCTGCCTCTAGATAGGCAGAGCCAGCTGTCACTCACGCAGCTGTGTGGATCCAGACTGTATTGTCGAGATCCGTCCCGGCTGCGGCGGTCTCAGTATACCGTGAACTGTAGTTCTCTTAAGGGTCACTGGAGGACATATACTAACCTCCTCCCATGACCCTTAAGAGAACTATAGGGAAAAACACTTACCCCATAGTTCTCTTTTAATTTCACCTTCCCTAATGACTATAATGCCTTTTGCCAAAATGGTGACATTTTGCTTAAATCTCCTTATTTTCAATAAAATGTCAGGGAACTGAAAACTCAATTTTATGCCTACACATGAGCAAGCAGAATGGGCACCCTGGGCCACCTAGCTAGCACTCATTGAATCCCTTCTTCACTCATTCCATTACAGGTGAAGAAGTCCCAAGGGGGCATTCTCCCAAATCTGTTAATGCTGCCCCCCCCCCCCCCCCCCCCCATGGAGAAGACTGAGGAAATGCTTTCTCCTGTCCTGCCTGCAGAAGACTGATGTCATAATTTAAATTGTGGTCACTGACTGGAGTTCATAGACGGCTTTTAATGATAAAAAAAATACCGCTGCTCCCAGTGTTACTTTCTTTTGTTTAATTGATTTCAGTTCAGCAATCAATTAGCTGGGCTTCTGACTATATAGCCTAATAACACAGAGCTACAAGAGGGACGATTTACACATCCGTATTTGAAATACAGCCAATCACATGAAGTTATGAAGGTGACAATCAAAAATGACATTCACATACATTTACAATAAAAGATGTGATCACTTAAAAACTCTAGAACTGCCTTTAAAAAGGGTAACATTAGACTGCTAACATGTTAGCTGTCAAGATAGATTGTAAAGGATGGAGAGCATATACCTGGGTCTTGCAGCATTCTCTGATTCGCTGTCCTCACTGTCACTCAGCTGTAAATCTCGCCTCACTATATATAACAGTTTGCAGCCGTTGCCGTTTTTCTGCGAAAATGTGTTAACAACATTGTTACACCCCAAAGTCGTTACTATTAAAGTGACTCTATGAAAAATGAGGCCCTCACTCCAGCAATTGCATTAATCAAAGGTTTATTAGCAATAAAAGCACAAATGCGTAAAATGCACAGTTTTTGCTTTGGGAATTTATCTGATCCTACCACTCTACCTTTGTTCTTTATCTTAATGCATAAATTGTTTAAAGATAAATTCCAGGCACAGGTGAAATACATATATGGGAGTTGTTTTACTCTCCAATGGATATTAATTTCTGCCCTTCCAGTCCTAATTCACTAATCTGAGATTTACAACCATTTTTTTTTGCACCAGAATAGGTCAGCAGAGAATTTGGCTGGTGACAAAAAACAACCCCTCATCTTGTTCGCTGGAGACCAAGGTGAAAGTAAATAAATATTTTTAAATAAAGAGATCTAGACTCCTCATACTATAAATGTTTGATGTTGTGTGTAATAACTGTTTATTAATTCCCTGAAATTATTAGATATATTTGTGATCCTTCCCATAGACCTTTTACATTGATTTGTGTAAACAGTGGTAACCACATTCAGGAGGTTCTTAAGAAGGGCTTAGAGGAACCGAAAGCCACCCCGGGCCTTTGCTTGACCCTGAATTCTGCGTAGTTGATGATCTCAGACCATTGGGAAGGACGATAAAATATATCATGGGTGTCCTGGGTCTCCCTAGAATTCCTTCCAGTTGTACATACCAAGGACAGCGCCACCTATAATCTCCTTAAATGTTATTCATATTGCAGAGAGATATCCAAAGTCTTTCAAATGTCTCAAAAGTCTCTAGTTTTGTATCACTTGAAGGCACACCAAGATTGCTAAACTATTCAACCTTTCATGATGAACAAGTCTAACTTTATAGTGAAATTACATTTCTCTTTTATGGTTCATGAACGAAAAAAGGAATATTGAGAAATCATTAAAGTAAACAACAAGTCCAAAATTTGAACTATAAGTCAACCCAAAGCTAACATCTCAATCTTGGACATTAATTAACTAACTATCTGGATTTGTTTTTCATTTGGACTGCAGTGGGAATGTATTGTTTTTATAGTTGTTAGTGTTTTAGAGTCCTCTACAAGAGTGTCAAGGTAAAAAATGGTAGAATCCAGAAATTATAAAGTGTATGTAAAAGGTAACGGTTTGACCCCATGCCAAATTTGTTTTGCAGCCTGTGTCCCCACTGTGGAGATTAATCTTTCTATTTGTCCTGATGACCATTGTCCCCTAGGCAGAAAGAAGGGGGAAATCCTAAAGCTGAGAGTTGTCATGAGACCAAAAGGTGAGGGTTAATCTTTCAACGTGGATAAATAATCGGGTGACAATTGTCTAAGATGGGAATTCCTCTCACTTTTGAGTCTCCAAAACAAGACCGGAAGAGATATCCCTAGAAGAAAACAGACAGCGATAAAATCTTGACCGGGGTTTTAACCCTACTCTACTTTATACCTCCAAACTTCGTGTTGCCTTCATATTGTCACAACAACAGTGCATAGAGAGCTTAATGGAATGGGTTTTCATGGCCGAGCAGCTGCACCCAAGCCTTACATCACCAAGTGCAATGCAAAGCGTCGGATGCAGTGGGGTAAAGCACGCCGCCACTGGACTCTAGAGAAGTGGAGACGTGTTCTCTGGAGTGACCAGTCACGCTTCTCTGTCTGGCAATCCAATGGACGTGTCTGGGTTTGGCAGTTGCCAGGCGGTTGCCTGACTGCATTGTGCCAAGTGTAAAGTTTGGTGGAGTGGGGATTATGGTGTGGGGTTGTTTTTCAGGTGTTGGGCTTGGCCCCTTAGTTACAGGGAAGGGAACTCTTAAGGCATCAGCATACCAAGACATTTTGGACAATTTCATGCTCCCAACTTTGTGGGAACAGTTTGGGAATGGCCCCTTCCTGTTCCAACATGTGCACAAAGCAAGGTCCATAAAGACATGGATGAGCGAGTTTGGGGTGGAGGAACTTGGCTGGCCTGCACAGAGTCCTGACTTCAACCCGATAAAACACCTTTGGGATGAATTAGAGCGGAGACTGCGAGTCCGGCCTTCTCGTCCAACATCAGTACCTTACCTCACAAATGCGCTTCTGGAAGAATGGTCAAACATTCCCATAGACACACTCCTAAACCTTGTGGATAGCTTTACCAGAAGAGTTGAAGCTGTTATAGCGGCAAAGAGTGGGCCAACTCAATATTGAACCCTACGTACTAAGACTGGGATGCCATTAAAGTTCATGTGCGTGTAAAGGAAGGCATCTCAATACTTTTGGTAATATAGTGTATAACCATTTGCCCTTATAATGGCCATGTTTGGGAGGCAGGACCTCAGCCTAAATCAAGATTATGTTGACATAGAAAAAAGCAGGAGATTGACTAATCCCACTATCTTCCATCCAAAACAAAATGATAGGTTTTAGTTAGGCCTAGCCTTTTACTAAGAGCAAAAGGTTTTATTTCCAAAAGCCACAGAGCGCCATAGTATCTCTTTCTTTTGGTACAATAATTTTCTTTACGAGAAAAGAAAATACAGAATACAATGTAAAGAACCCATGTCAAGCTGGAGGAAATAATGAGTGCAATTAATTTGTATTGTTCTGGAGATATTAAATTGCATTATTAGGGTGACTCACGAATGACGCAGAATCAGCTGGGTCCGGCACTTTGAAATTTTTATCTCCGAGCCCTGAAACAGAGATGAAGAAATTAGCTGCAGGGGAGGCTATAATTACATATGAAACTAAAAGGGTAGAAAAAAAAAGCGCATTCACTAACTTAGGCTCACATTAATGAATCATATCCTGCTTGAAAGGCCATGGTGTAAGCCGGCTGGCAAGACCGAGCGGAAATAAACGACCACAGGCTTTTAAGTCACGACCTAGTTGCTAAGTTAATGCTCTTCTATTGTTGCCTCAAATTAAGGGTATTTTTAAATGCAATTTCACCCATAATTGTATATGTTGGAGTTACCCAGATGCTCTTTTTTATCAGAAGACAAAAAGGTGGTACACTGTGTTCCCGTCTAACATAAATGGGCTTTGATGGGCTCCCTTCAAACTACTCTGTCTAATTTCGCTGAGGGTGATGTACTTTTGGAGAACAATAATTATCAGCAGAAGAATCTGCAGAACCAATTTTTTAGGTTTTGTAATAATTACCATCTGACTCATCAAGGTCTGAAGGACTAGTCAATTTGCTTTTTGTGAGGTTTTTCTGGACAACATGAACGTTGAACCAGGGGCGTCCTGATGCTGGGTGACACCCGGATCGGTGTCCGAGTGTCACCCCGCCGAGACGTCACCGCGCGTGTGCGCGATGATGTCATCGCGCACACGCGGCAGTATTCTGATACCTGCCGGCGGCCATCTTGGTGATGGACGCCGGCAGAGAGAGGAGGAGACAGCTACCCGGCGGGATAAGATATCCTCTCTCCTGATACTGTCGGGCGTTCGGTCCATGACCGAGCACCCGACTTTTCAGAGGGGGGTGACACCAAAATGACTGTAAGTCATTTTGGTGTCACCCCTCCAATGGTGTCGACCGGGTGCGGGCCGCACCCCCGCACCCCCCTTGTGACGCCACTGCGTTGAACCAGACAGGTTAATGTGAGTTGGGTTAAAAGGAACCAAAAAGCCCTCCACTGAACCAGGATAATTCAGAATAGAGCCTGCTTAATACAAGAGCTATCAACATGTCTCACTTCTATCACAAATCCCAAAGATAAGGATAGTAGGCAGAAACATTCAAATGATTGCTTTATACCTCTAGCCAACTGTACATCCAGAACCACTGGTTTACAACACACATACAGCGTCTATCATTTTTACTGCAACCTGCCCCTTTCTGCTCCCCACACTGCTCTATTGCCTACAAAGTGTGATGGGCAACACCAACATCTGGTAAGAAGGCAAAAAGTGTCTGGCTTGGTCATTTGGTTTTTTTGCAAAGCGAGGGTAATGGATGCTACTGGATTAAAGGTTGATTTGTAAATAAAGTTAATATGCCAATCATTAAAAAATATAATAGACCAATTTAGAAACTTGTAAAAATTCAAAACAAATCATCATATTATTTATTATAAGCCATTAAACTTTACAGATAAAAAAGAAATAGCACTCACTATTCTCACAATGATCTAAAGTGGGTGCCACTTCAACTAAAAGATCTCCATACTGAATACTTTGCTGTTTATTTAATGCAGAAAAAGAGCACCACACCATTTGTGAGGTGGCTACTAAGGATTTAGTAATTGCAAGAGCTGTAGTCAGTCTGGTTGAATTATAGTTGGCATTTATCTGGTTAATTCCAGGTGTTCTGGCATTGATTATACTTGCCTGAGTGGAGTGTGACTCTGCTGCAGTGTGAGACAACCAATGGGGGACATTGTGAATGTGTGTACAGTTCACTGGCCAATCACAGGGGCTCTGATAGCCAGTGATGCATGTTGGGACAGGGCATATACACTCGAGGGAATTGCCATGTGCTCAGTCTGGTTCCAGCCATGGATTAGTCCATTTTGGGGTGCTGTCCAGCCTGCCCCCAGGCTAGGCCTGGGGTTGTGAATACTTGAGTGTGGGAAATGCTCTGTTAGGCCTCAAGTCTAGAGGAGGCCTCTGCTATTGGTGGAGGAGGAGAACCGGGGAAGCTGATGTCTGCTGGAGGTGCCTGGAATATAGATGACCTCAGGAGCAAGTCTGGTGTCTCTCCTACTGAGGACTTGTGCCAATCCCTGCTCCTCTGCTGCTCAGATACCTAGTGTCAACCATGCTTGAAGAGAATCTACAATTAAATACTAAAAGGCTATGGTGAGTCTGGAGTCTGTGTCTGTTGTACCCCGGATGTCTAGGCCCCTATACCCTCTCTCCCAGATTGAATATATTAATAAAGTTCTTCAGCATCATACTTCTGGCCTGGATATCCGCTCTGTGGGCACTAGAAGAGGCCAGTTAATGCTAATGGGGCAGCTTGTTACCAAAATCCCTAGACAGACTATGGGTGACCCGGTTATTCTGGCGGCTCCTTCAAGGGTGAGCGCTACACAAGCTTTTATAAAGGTGACCAGAATCCTGGAGGACTTCTAGTAATATTGTTCTCAGGTCTACCATCTACACAACCTCACTAACGAATGCCAAGGAATAGTTTGCAATGCAAGTGCTTCCATGACAACAAGAAGAGCAGAGCAGTAGTCCTTTATCTTTTTAAATAGATTGTTTCCACTTTAATAGACCAAATGGCACACAGCAGACAAAGCTATTGCAATAATTAGTGATCCGTTGAATCCAGATATTCTAAAGAATGAAAACATGAATTTAAGGAGCCTGTTGCCAAAGGTTAAAAAAATCCTACTGGCTTTATTATTTTATGATTCAATTACCTAAAACAAGTATGTAGATCAGAGGTTACGACTTAATTTAAAGTGTATTTCCAATTTCACAGTCAGATTTGAGAAAAAACTTCTATATGTTCCTGTGCACGCAGCATACTGAAAAATTGCTTTTTAAAAAAATTCTTACCTTTTAGATGTTTTGTTAAATCAGACAAGATGGCTGATTCAAGGTTTTTCTTAGCCCTTTTACAGTGGTCTGCTCTAATGGAAAGACTTGGGACTAAAATTTGAGGATTGCTTTTATCTAAAAAGCTTCAATAACATATCATGGAGTAGTCACCTCAGACCCCTCACCCCTCCTAACATTTCAATTAAATAGAAGCAAGAAGAAATGTTAACCTTTAAAACCCCCAACCCAAGTAAAAAAAATTAAACTGCAAGAAGCATTTTTTTTTTTTTTTTTAGCTTATGCTATGTGAATGAGAACATGTAACAAATATAAAATAGATGTCATCCCAATTGGGCTGAAAAAGTGAAAATACACTTAAAACTTCAGTTGCTTCAGTTCATGTTTTGGGTCTCAGAAGGCTATACAGACATAGACGACCAGGCAGCTAGCATTTTCTGAGGCGGTCACAGGCAATAGTAGCCTATTTTTCTTACAGGTTTGCTTTAAAGCAAAAAGGGCAAAAGCTGGCAGAAGAGGGTCAACTGCAGTTCAAATGCACCTGTGAATGATCTCAGAAGCATCTCAGACTGATGTCATACTGATGCCATCAACACAAACCCAAAGCTTGTTGACGCAGGCCTTTGGAAAGGCTGGAGAGATCTAAGCATTTGTGATGTGATGTTGGTGGACTTATGACGTGCTTTTGAAATGGAAGAGCAGGTCAGTCAATTCTCAAGAGAAAAACTCAGCTTGCTCACTAGAAGGACTGATACAGAAACTAAAGTTTGGATAGTCTGATCTCATAATTTCATGGTAGACTCACTGATGACTACTTTCATGGTGGGAAAGATGGAAAGCCAAAGGAGCAATACATGAGAAACTAAACTAAGAGACACACAACCTCTTTTTTTTTTACTGATCCTCTAACAAGCTATTATTGACATCATGTCAAATCCAATAAAGTCAAATCTTTAGACCACAATTCTTCCTTTGTTGTATATCTCTCATGAACGTACAAAACCTATGATTCGCCAGACCAAATTAACACAGGCCAAGTTATCTTCTATAATTGATAGAGGAATCACAGTGAATTTAACACCCAGTCAGTAAGCTATGTTGTCTATAACTCCAAGGGACAAAAACTGTTAATTATATTTCTCAGAATACATGGGCAGGTGAGAGAGCGCAGTCATCCTCTCTATAAGCTGCAGCAAATAATCTCTGCAGTGAGGAAGATCTAAGGACTGGGATTTCGTGTTCAAGCAGAAAAAGACGTGGGGCTTTTCTAATTAATTTTTGGCCTAAAAAAACAAATTCTGTCCATTATTTATTGTCTTCCAATTAACCCCGCTCCTTAACACAGGATGAGTCAACACAACCATGCTGAGACAATTATTTAAAGCAAAGATCATTTGTAAAGCCTTGTTTTTAATAATGTAAATGTAATCTGTGCCGTGAAAAAAATGGAAAAATAAGAAATTAAAGTCAAAGGTAAAAAAAAAAAAAAAATCTGCCGTAACTTTGACCTCTTCTTTTCCAAAATAAAATGCGTATGGGACTTTATGCAGTGGGAGTGGCTAGGATGACATGGCTTGCTCCCATCCACACTCCCCAACAATGTTCAATTTGAATCTGCAACTGTATAATCACTAGCTGCTTTGAGCAATACCCAACCTTTAAAAAAAAAACCCGCTCTAAAGCTAAAACCTTTTTTGTAATTTGTGTGCTTTTGGGAGATTTCCCTTTACTTCCTATCCTGTTGCCACAACAGGAAATGAGAGATCTCTTCAAATGAAAGGAAATTCCCTCATAGACAGTTTCAGTCACTAACAATTTGAACAATGGCATTAAAATTGGGCTAAAGATACTTAAAAACATTAGGTGATGTCCAAAACGGCTAAATCCAGTGTGTAACGTACCCCTTTACCAGGTCACAAGCAAACTTCTTTGCCAGGTGATTCTCAGTAAATGTGACTTGATTTGATCTACTACAAATTTTGGTTCAATTAACCAGTTTACTTAGGGTGTAAACTGCTGCCTTTAAAGCAGTTGATGGATGGCTCACTATACAGCCATGACCATGCACATTCTCCTTTCCTATCACCTACCTGTATGCGGAGCCTAAGATGACACGGGGGGGTCTCTTGCTCAATTGCTATCCGAGTGCCCCTGGACAAGGCCTGCAAACATCAACTCAAACATTTTGTGACCCTCTTTACATGCTCATTGTATGTTTAATTGTGTTTTATAACAAGCTTTTTGATTTTGCCTGATTAACTTGGCTCCTGTCAGAGAGCGGGTGTGATGAATAGCGGCAATTCTTGTAAAGGGATTTTGTGTGACGGCACCACACAGGCAGATGATTCTGTTTTCATTTTTTCCCTCTAATCGTCTATTGACAAAAACATTTTTCATCTTGAATTGTTCCACATTTACACAGAGCTGTGCTGACAGATTAATGTAACCTCCTTTGAATTGTTATTCCGCGCATGTTCTTCTACTGACATTTGTCAGGAATATGAGGCTTGATGTGCCAAAGAATGTTCGAATGCTTGAAGGAAAAAGAATAGCCTAAAATAGTGAGCTCTATAGGCCTTGGGCATTTACATTAAAATCTCAGACATTGTTATCAGCCCTGTTTGAGTTCTCTCTGTGAACTATGAAACCTCTCTATCTTGCAGAGGTGAGGATAGGGGGGGGGGGGGGAGTTGTGCTGTACACCTAACAATCTTCCTGTCCTAGGGTAACAATGCTGTTCCTCCATAGATACAGTACAATGAATCAGCGTGAACTGAGGACATGAAGTGTACTCCTGGCAGGATCACCAGGTAAAAATAAAGAAAAAAGGTTTTTTTTTTTTAAAAAGGAACTAGCCAACACATCTAAGGACTGGCAAGTTGCAATATATTACATTTTTGTTCTTGTGATTAAATAATAGAAAGGGCTCTCCCTTCATGCAGAAATACTTGTGATCCGGAAACTCTGACAAGCTCCTGGCTTCTCTTTGAATTCTTCATGTTGTGGAGCTTTATTACTTTTATTACAGATCTGCCGGAGCAGGGGCAGTACATTACCTATGGTGCCCCAGCCCTAGGTAATGTATTAAGCCTGGGGCAGCCCTAGGTAATGTACTGCCCCTGCTCCAGCAGATCTGTAATAAAAGTACTAAAGTTCCACTACATGAAAAAAAAAAATCATTCCCTCTGATGATTCACCTCTCCTGCTAGTGCTTCTGCTGCTGACACCCTGTATAGTTCAACCCCTTCCTATGAGCCCAGGCCTTTATGGACCTTCCCAATAGGGGCACATCATTAAGATCTCCTCACAGTATTGCTTTGCTGAGCTTACGTGTCACTACCAGAGCACCACTCAATGCAGAAGCAAGGACGATCCACTGCTGGTGCAAAGAAGAGAAGGAAGAGAACTTCACACATCACTTGACCAAAAAGAAGACAGAAAAGTTGCATGTATGCTAAAATGTATTTATTGATTTTTATTTAAATGGGGAGATTGTCCAAGTTGGCCAAACTAACTAACTATTCTAGAGCTGTGCACAAGCAATTATTGTCAGCCCCATTGCTCCACAAAATTTGCTAATATTTGATATCTATAGAGGTAGAACAAATGACTGCTGGTGGTTTAAAAGACACAAATAGCATAAAGTAATCTTTCAGACAACTGAAACATTGTATGATCATATGAGATTTTTAGCTTCTATATGCTACTTAAGTAGCATATGCCATAGGCTTGTTTTAAATGATTTACTCAGATTCGCGAATATAGCCTTACCATTTACCTTAGTGCTCAGCAGGAAACTTTACCTGAGGGTTTTGGATCTTCTTCAGCAGATACCTTCACCAAACATATCTTTGGCAGGATCCGCAGGAGCGTTGACGTGTCCTCAACCATGTTCATTTGGGCCACGTGTTCAAAGTGACTGGCCCGATGTCCCTGGAACCAAGGCAACACACAATGCAGGATTAAAAACTTGAGTCTACCCAAAGATATTATTGTAGGCGTTAGTGCATAGTGGAAAGATAAACCAACTAATAGTTTATGTTTTATCTTTATGGTGAGATCTCTGCAATCCTCCATCATGCTGTGGCCATTACAAGGAGGTCCTGCTCTTCCTGTTGGATTCTTAAATTATCTTATATTATGGAGAATGCAGGAGAAATGCGAAGCCAGAGGAAACTGAGACAGGAACAATGGCACAGAAATACCAAAAGATATATCACAACAGTAAATGATTTAGCCTTCTAGTTACTCAGTAGTAACAGAATTCTGTGAAATGAGAGGACAGGGTAAGTAGACTATGTACTTTCATTAAGGAAACTAAGGTTTCATGAAGCAACCCACCACTAACAGGAGCTTCTGATGAGGTGGTGACTCTCTTCAAAACCATTTCCAATGTGTATGACTGCCTAATACTATGTCTACATCTGCAGTCAATCAGAAACTAGCACTGGGCTGTCACCCCCCTACCAAAGATGAGACTTTTTTTTAAATTCCTTAACAATAAAGAATATTAGAAGAGATACAGTGTTACAGGTCAGATCAGTAATATGTGGGTAAATGAATATGTTCTTTAATGTCTCTTTCATTATCAGCTGGTGGCTGCCCTTGCAGTTCATGGGCAGCTTCTTCCTTCACCCCTCCTTCATTTGTGTAGAAGCCTTACAGGTCTATTTACAAAAGGGTGAAGAGTTTGGAGAAGGCGGGAGTAGTGAACAATCTAGGCCAAAGTAGCTGATTTGGAAAAATTATCCAATTCAGCTCACTTTCCAGTTTAGCTATGTTGTCCTAGATTGTTCACTTCTGCCTTCTCCAAACTCTTCACCCTTTTGTGAATAACCCTGTTAGACTTACAGTCTTATAATATTCCCCCTTGTCATCTGCTGGATGAAACTCAACGTTATGGCAGGATAACACTGCAGCTGCACACCTGGCCTCATTTAACTGCTTAAATGAAATTGACATTAAACTCAGGAGTTAAACCTTAAAACTGCATTCAAGTACCGCTCCAAGCACACTCCTGTGATGGGCTACAATCTTGGATTCGTTTACTAATTTGTATTGAAGTTAGAGTCCAACATGGGTACAAGCTTGGAGCGGTGGCTAATTTACAACACTCACAGGGACCATGGGGAACAAAAGTAACCCCCCTCCAGAAGGAAGGACAGTGTCAGCACCAATTCAGAGATTATTTGAGGATCTACAGCCGAGTGATACACAAATAACATACATTTTTGTTAATAATTAAGGTACTTGAATGCATTTTTAAAGTGCAGTGTCACTGAGCTTAGCATCACTTTAAGTTCAAATTTTCCAGACAGTGACTGATCAAAGGTGGATACTACTCTTCTAACTGCTTTCATCCTTTAGGATCTCTGGAGGTTTACATCTTGAGCTGCCCAGACCTTCAGCTTGTCAGTGAATACTTTGTTTGCCAATAGCCCTGACCTCCAGTCCTGAGTGCATTCCTGCTCTGTGATATGGTACTGCATTTTGATTCTGCCTGCACAAGTTGAATGGCACAGTTTGGGCAATTCTGAATGTTGTACTCTGGTATTGTCTACCGCACAGTGTTTGCATCTTGTGCAGCTCAATCAGAGTCATCCACCCCCTGCTGGTTAGGCAAAGGGTCCACCACATCCCATCAGTCTCTGCATTTCATTTAAAAAAAAAGGCTTACTTTACTGGGGTGCCATGATTTTGTGCCATTCCTGCGCTCTATTTTTACAGGAGCTACAGCACTACTTGTTCCTTCTCCCTGAAGCCTCACATGGCCAAATGATGATCTTTACTTACCACTTTGTTTCTGAAAGCCTCTTTGCTA